AGAAGCCCTGCGCCTTCAACCCTCCAAGGAACCCCCCCGACGTTAGGCAGGCACAAGCATCCCTCGAGGGACGAGCCAGCCCCCGCTGGGCACCCACAACCTCCGCAGCCCTTTCTGGAAAGCCGAGCAACGAGCTCCCCACGCGGCCACACACACGAAGACCGCCCGCACGGGTGGGGGCAGGAAAGGCTGCGCCTCCCCGGGCATTCGGGCTCCCTCCCTGGCCCCTGCCCCGGAGGCCCTCCGCACGCCCCTGCTGCCCGGCCGCCCCGTCCCTCCGCGCAGCATCGCCCCCGGCCAGCCCCCTCTGCAAAAGACGCGCGCCCCGGACTCTCCCCCTCCCCACCCCTCGGGGACGCCGCACGGAGCGGAGCTCGGCGCGCCTGCAGGGAGAGAGGATGCCTGCAGCGCGTCGGGAAGGACGCCAGTTCCGGGAAAGCGCCTCGGGCGTGGAGGGGGAACGACCACTGCCAAAGGCCCAGGCGAGGAGAGGGAAGCGGGACGAGGAGGTCGCTTGGGGGGGGGCGCTCCGAGCACTGGCCATCCAGCAACTCTCCCCCCTGCCCAAGCATTGGCACAGCTTGTTTAAAAAAAAATTGGCATTGCGCATGTGCATATACACTTGGTTGAATCACTGCTCCCACTGGGACTCGCCATACTCCCTTGTTTTTGCAGCCCCCCCCCCCCCCCCCGGCAAAAAAAAATCCAACAGTAGCAGCTGGGAGGAACCCAGCCGCTTCCGTCGCAACGCCAAATCCAGATGCTTCTCCGTCCGGGGCCTCCGCTTACGAGCTCTTTTTCCTCTCTTCCCAAGTCCGCTCCGGGAACCCGCCGCGCGAGAGCTACCTACCATTGTGGCTGGCGACGGTCTGTGCACGGGCGGAGGTGCGACGAGCAGGCGGGCTGGCGGCTTCTGAGTGCTCTCGCTCCTTCTGCGCTTCGCCCCAAAATGCTGTAGGTGTGAGGCTGCTCCAGGAAGCTTTTATACCGCGCGCTGTATCCCTCCGCCGAAGCAGCGCCTTTTTCTCTCCCTTCTCTCCTCCCCGGACTATGGCATGTGGCAGCAGAGCGACTGCGGCGGGCAGCCCTGCCCCCACCCCCCACCCTCCCCCGCTCACTCCCCTCCGTCAGCCCAGCTGGCAGGCGGCGAGGAAGGGGGGGGGGCCTCGCCAGCGCCCTGCGAGAAAGCCGCGGATGGACGGCAGCGACGCATTGGAGAGCCAGCCTGCCAGCCAGGGGGTTGCTTGCTGCAGATGCTGCTCACGGGCCTGGACGGCTGCCGTGCGCTTGCCGCCTTCCGAGGTAGAAGTTGCTCTTAGGCAGGGAGGGAAAAGGCGGCCGGGACGCCCACCCTGAGGTCCCCGCTGGCTGGCTGGGCAAAGGCCTCTGGCAGTAGAAGCAGATCTATCCCATAAGGGTTTGCTTTGCAGCGAGGCACAAAGAGCCCCTGTAATCTGCTTCAGTAACTAAAACATATAGATACGATAGATAAAGTCAGGTAATCCAGCATGGTTCGCTGTTCAGCTGCGATATCCATGCGTTTCTCACGAGGGAGGGGGGGAGGAGGGCAGGAAAAAGTACACCTTCCTGACAAGCAGGCTCTTTGGAGGAGATTTATGGGCATGTAAATCTGCTGAGGGTAAATGTAAGCTGCATATATGGGAACAGATATACCAGTTTAAAGAATAACATTTCTGTTGTTAAGTCCCATTGCGCTCTGTACATTTACATGCCTGTTATAGTTTGGGGGTGTGGCCTTGGGTAAAACAGCCAGAATAGAGGTCAGCTGTATTTTTAAGGGTCCCTTAAACATTGATCAGAAAAGTCCATGTTTCCTCCAAAACAAAAGGAAAGTCCTTTGAAATCACAGTTATACACAATGACCACTGCCTGCCATCCACAAGGCACTTACTTTGGGAGCAAACCGTTCACATCAGGCAACCAGCTGCATCTGAAGAAGTGAGCAGTGACTCACGAAAGGTCATACCCGACCATGAATTTTGTTAGTCTTAAATTGCTGCTGGACACTTACTCTCTTCTACCACATTCACATCAATGATGCTGCAAATGGTGTATGATTTGACAATGATAAGATTTGCTCTTCCTTTGTAAAGCAGAAGGAACAGACTCGGTAAGGGGGGCCCAAGCACATCAGCTGCTACTCACCCCTAAAATACAGCTGCATTGGGGGCCTCCCCATCTTCAGGAGCCCTTTTTCCTATTCAAATATCTCATTTCCTCCACCACTTACCAGCGCTTGCCGGGTGACCTTGGGCCAGTCACATAGACTCAGCCCAACCTACTTCACAGTGTTCTTGTGAGAGTAAAATGGAGGAGGGGGGAAATGTTGCAAGTAAGCTACATTGGGTCCCAAGTGGGGTATAAATGAAGTAAACAAATAAAATCCTGTCCCTAGCAAAAGTGTTATAAATGAAGTAAACAAATAAAATCCTGTCTGCATGTGATAGAAAGCTCCCTGTCCCTAGCAAAAGTTTGTGCAACTCAAAAGTGTGGTGTGATGTTGCCCTGAGGATATAACTCACCCCCTCCTATTTAAAGCTTCCCTGGCATCAGCACCAGCTGCCTTCCCCTGCCACTTGAAGATATCACCCAATTTCTGAACAGCACATCATTCTTTAGCACCACACTTTCCCACTGAAACCAATAATAAGCCATAGCAATTGTATTGGGAGGAGTCAGGACATATAGTTGAATTTGCAAAATAACATAAGAACATAAGAGAAGCCAATGTTGGATCAGGCCAATGGCTCATCCAGTCCAACACTCTGTCACACAGTGGCCAAAAATACCAGGTGACATCAGGAGGTCCACCAGTGGGGTCAGGACACTAGAAGCCCTCCTACTGTTGCCTCCACCCCAAGCACCAAGAATACAGAGCATCACTTGCCCCAGACCGAGAGTTCCTATCTATATCTTGTGGCTAATAGCCACTGGTGGACCTCTGCTCCATATGTTTATCCAGTTCCCTCTTGAAGCCATCCATGCTTGTAGCCACCGCCACCTCCTGTGGCAGCGAATTCCATGTGTTAATCACTCTTTGGGTGAAGAGTGCTCCATCACACACAGTTTTTTGATATCTGGAGAAAGTTCTCAGTCCTTCTGTATTTCCAACCCCACAAAGTTACATCTTCTCATTGGAAGCAGTCCTACCTTGGCAAATCAAAGGGCTGGAGTTTTTCCAGCTGTTCTTGCTCCTCAGCTAGGGCTGCCAGCTCCAGGTTGGGAAAAACCTGGAGATTTTGGGGGTGGAGCTTGGGGAGAGTGGGGTTTGGTGAGGGATTTCAATGGGGTAGAAAGTCCACCTTCTAAAGAAGCCATTTTCTCCAGGTGAACTGATCTGTTGTCTGGATAGAAGTTATAATCTCAGGAGATCCCCAGCCACCACATGGAAGTAGAAAGGGAGCAAAACAACCGTGATATATTATGCCAAAAAATTCTTCATAGACTTGTGAGTTCTTTTCCAATATCCAATTTACTTGGAGCAATTCAAACGCATCAACACCACAACGGACCATGCATATCGCGTCTCGTTTTGTATACAAACTTTATCAGTGGGTAGCGTTGAAATGCCTATGTAATTTTAATCCATTTGGCAAACACTATAGTCATTTACATAGGAATTTCAATGCTACCCTCTCTGATAAAGTTTGTATATGAAACGAGACGCGATATGCATGGGCCGTTGTGGTGTTGATGCGTTTGAATTGTTCCAAGTAAATTGGATATTGGAAAATAACTCACAAGTCTATGAAGAATTTTTTGGCATAATATATCACGGTTGTTTTGCTCCCTTTCTACTTCCATCCCGTGATCTCTCTCCTTGGTTTGCACCACCTGGAAGTTAGCAGCCCTGCTCCTCACCCTTCTCCTGGGCAACCAACTGCTTGCATTCATAAGGGTATAAGAGACGCCAATGTTAGATCAGGCCAAAGACCCATCTAGGCCAACACTCGGTCACACGGTGGCCAAAAATACCAGGTGCCATAAGGAGGTCCACCAGTGGGGCCAGAACATTAGAAGCCCTCCCACTGTTGCCCCCCCCAAGCACCAAGAAGACAGAGCATCACTTGCCCCAGAGCCCCTCTCTATACCTTGTGGCTAATAGCCACTGATGGACTTCTGCTCCATATGCCTATTTAATTCCCTTTTGAAGCCGTCCATGCTTGTAGCCGCCACCACCTCCTGTGGCAGTGAAATGACTCAAGCATTAGTTACTATTTTGTGCAGACAGGACAATAACTCTGCATTGTCATACTTTAATCCCCTCTGTCCAGATTGTGATGGTGAGGTCAGATTCTTGTAACTTCTACTTCTACCTTATCCTGGGGTTTGAAACTAAAATAGCCATTGTCAGCTGTTCTCACCACAAACTTCCTCCCATGCAGATATTGGAGGAAATGGTCTATGGACTTTGCAACTGCTGGGAGTTCTTTGCTAGTGATGCAATCTTTTCTCTCTGCATCACTCAAGCTTTTGCTGAAATAAGCAACCACCTTTTCTTGCCCTTCACATTCCTATCCCAATACCACACTCCCATGTTGTAACTTATGAAACAAATGAGGCCTTAAAACGCAGATGGGCGCATTCACAAGTTTCTTTTTCAACTCTTGGTCACCTTCGGGTGACTACTGAAATACCTTCCTTTCTCACTCAAACTATGCACTAATTTTAAAAGAATATGTTAGCAGCCTCCTCTTCATTAACAGGAGCAAACCTCTGTGCTATGTTGTAGCTCAGCAAATGCTTCCAGCCAGGACAGCAGCAGCCAAGGAATGGGCAGGAAGGACAGTCCATGTTGCTTCCTGCTGCCAACAACCCAACACATACACCCGCTCCCACATTCTCCCCACTGCACCTGTGCAAGAGTGCAGACATGACAGCAATCATGCAGCAGCCCTGAACCACCACTTCCTTTCCCTGTCACTTTTCCTTCTCCTACCAAGTTGTGTTTTAATGCTACAGCATGGCTTAGCAGGGAAAGTTTTGGGTGGAAAGGAGAGAAGGGCTAAGGAGGCGAGAATGGTGTTTGGCAGTAAACTGCTCTATACTGTTTTGAAAGTGAAGCTTAGCCCCTCCATGTTGTGGCAACAGAAGGCATGTCCACACAGACACTCCCCCATAGCCAGACTTACGGTTGCCAGGTCCGGGGTGGTAAATTCCTGGAGATGGAAGAAGAAGAAGGGGAGGAAGAAGAAGAGGAGGAAGAAGAAGAGGAGGAGATTGGATTTATACCCTGCCCTTCACTCAGAGTCTCAGAGCGACGTACAAACTCCTTTCCCTTCCCCTGCCCACAACAGACACCCCGTGAGGTAGGTGGGGCTGAGAGAGCTTTGAGAGAGCTGCTCTTTCAAGGACAGCTCTGACAGAACTATGGCTTGCCCACGGTCATCCAGCAGGTGCAAGTGGAGGAGTGGGGAATCAAACCCGGTTCTCCCAGATTAGAGTCCGCACACTTAGCCACTACACCAAACAGAGCCTCAGGTAGGTGGGGTTTGGGGAGGGACCTCAGCAGGGTACAATGCCATAGAGTCCACCCTCCAAAGCAGCCATTTCCTCCAGGGGAACCGATCTCTGTCGCCTGGAGAAATCAGTTGTAATTCCAGGAGATCTACAGGTCCCCCTGGAAATTGGCAACCCGGCCTAACCAATCTGCAGATCCTCCTTTAAACCAGAAGAATGCAGGTTCTCTGGTTTAAAGGAGAAAGCCCCAAGAATGCCACAAATCATGCTTGGAATGAGCAAGATGTCATGGGAGTTTCCTCTTTAATCTGGTGGCTTCTTATTTTCCATGTTGGGGGAAATCACTACATGAGCCAGTTCTCTATGGCTGGGCTGATTCCCCCTTGACTTCTCTCTGAATCCCTTTTCAATCAAGACGTGTTCCAAGAATGTAACTTCAGGTGGAAAAACCCAAATTTCACTGTGCTCTTTTAAAAACTGGTTTGTGCACAATGCTATATTAAGCATGCTTACTCAGAAGTAAGTTCCATTAAGCTCAGTGGGGCATACATCCTAGTAAGTGTGCTTAGGATTGCAATCTTAGTTTACCATAGC